GGCTAATTTGAGAGGGAAAAATGGTCAAAAAAAGTTAGGGGGTTGTTGAAAAAGTTAGGGGGTTTATTCCTTCTCTTTATATCAGAAAAATTTTTTGATAATATTTATTATTTTCAAATACATTATAATGTTCAATTAAAAACCTTCCAAATCTCATAAAATATATAATCTTATATGAAGAATTCCAGATTCACGAACATATCACGTTCTTTATGAATTTTTTTTAAAAACCAAAATTCCAATAAAATCCATCTTTTTCAAAAATAAAATCCAAGTTGACATACTTAAATGCATTCATAATTCTTTTGTTTAAGGCATAAATCTAGTATGTATAGCTTTTTTTTTTTATATATAAAAATTACCTTTATTTTATATATCAAACTTTTTCAATATAGTAAGTCAGATTTTGGATACAAATTTTTACCGAGTCTTACCCCCATCCGCAAGGTCTCGGCTCCCATTTGCTGCGCTCGACGCCCGCTAGGGGGTATGTAGACTTCAGAAAAAAATATATAAAAATGAAAAACAATGGATCAACATAAGATTTTTATTTTCATTCAATAAAACGTGCTTTCACAAAAAGTTTTTGAATTTTAGTCATTACAAAATCAGATTTTTAAAACTTGTTTTCTCTCAATTTATAGCATACTATATTTATTCCTTAATTTTGATGATATTTTTTTCTAAGAGATTTGAATGGTTTAGTTCTATCAAAAAGTGGCCACGCTATTTTTCACCATTGTTTTTCAATTAAATAGTGAGATATAACTTTTTTGTGAGTATTTTCAATTTATTCAATATTTTCTGAATACCTTAAGAAATAAATTGTGCATAACCAAAAATTTCAAATGATTTATTCAAATTTAAATAATAATGAATATATCTTTAAATTTTCAATTATATTTACAATATTTTACACTTATTTAAAATAAAAAAATTTTTAATGCTATATACTCCTTATTTTTCTATACATGTCTAAAATTAATTGAGATAATTGTAATTGTTTAATTTTTTATAAAAATTTAATATCAATCTCAATTTCATATAAAATTAAAATGATATTTATTCTTTGCTTAGGAATAGTTCAGTGTAGAAAAGCATTAGAAGATCCAGTACCTACACCAGAAGTTTATCCACTTTCCATTTCAACCAGAGTAATGAAAATGTCTGGCGACTATTCTTGCGTTAGTAATAATCCAAATCATCCTACAGATCCTGACTGTCCTATAACTAATTTTGATTCTCCATCGACTTATAGATGCGGACAAGTTTGCTGGTCAGACAATGGCAATGCAGAATTTACTTATACTTTCAAAGGTGTACAATTTTTAATTTATGGTAATAAAACATCAAAAACTGGTTCATTCGACCTTTTATTTGATAATAAACACATAGCAACGATTAATGAAAAACTAAATGAAGGAGAAAACGAAGAAAACTTTTTCTTATTATATACGTCCCAAGTGTATACATATGGAGAACATACAATTACAGCTCGAGGTATAAAAGGTGATACATTTTCAATATTTAAGTTTGCTTTTTGGCCCCATTTAAAATCAAGAAGATTAAATATCTCCGAGATGAAATCAACAGGGACATGGGAGCAAGAATCCGATGAAATTGGTGGAATTCGTGAATTCAGTAAAGCCAAAGACTCTAGCAAATCTCTTACCATCGAAGCCTCAAAATTATGGGTATATGGAACTCCTGATCCACAGCACGGCAAAATGCGCATATCGTTCAATACTTTAGATGAAATTGTTGATACTCGTCAACCGCGTGAAGATTGCAAACTTTTATTTGAATCCGGCGATATCCCATCTACGTTTCATCAACTAGATCTTGTTGCCATTGAATCTCGACCAATTTTAATCTATGTTGTTTATTATCTTTATGACCCACCCCAACAAACGCCAATGGCCCATCCATCCCGCTCACCACATCCCCAAGCCAATCTCTCCTACATAGACAAACTTTTTGAGAACGTTAAAGTCCCCCAAATCAAAGATACCCATACCAAACAGATATCTGGCTGTACCTTTAAGAACATTGTTAAAGATAATGCAAATTACTTTATTAGGGCCGAACAATCAGAGATACTATTTTACAATAACCGTTTTGAGTTCACAACCGCCAGCACCGACAATCCAGGCATTCTTTTCTTATCGCAGACATTGAGTGGAAAGTTCACCATTTCTCAGTGCACTTTTATCAACTGTGTATCTAGCGATGGAGATGGAAATGCAGTAAATTGCCGAGCAAACATTGAACTAACCATTGAAGGATCAAGGTTTGTCAATTGCTTTGTTCCAAATGCAAAAAAACCACCTGGAGTTATAAGATTCAGTCAAGAAGACCGTGATCAAGGTTCATTAAAGATCAATGATTGTACTTTCCAGTTCTCTATTAATACACAATCATGTCCAGCATTGTATGGAAGATGTCCAAGTGCAATTATCAAAGGTTGCACGTTCTCAAAGTGCTGTGCAGCCAATATCACGAACAAAGTCAATAGCTTCACTTTTGCTGACAACATTATTACTTACTCTGCTCATCAAGGCATCATAATTGGCCAACTTGAAGGCACTGCAAACATTTCTGGAAACGCCTTCAAATTCAACAAGGTTACTGATTCATGCTACTTGTTGTTGACTGGAACAAAAGACACTTCCAACCTTTACATTACTAAGAACACGTTCGAAAATTGTAAGGCAAAAGATTTTGTCATTCAAGTGTCTCACAAAAAACCAGAAATTGAAAACAACCAATTTGTCTTTGATGTGAATGATGCAAACTCAGCTTGTGGTGCAATTAATTCCGTTGGAAGTGGATTCTCATGTAAGTTCTGCACATTCACAAGAGCTTTCTCAAGAGGCGCAATCACTGTTAAACAAACAGCCCAACAAACAGATCCTGTAATTGTATCAAACTGTGTTTTCGATAACTGTGGAGGAGCAAACACGAGATGCTTCTCACTGACAACTTTTACAGGATCACTCACGTTCAGTAACAACATTGTCCAGAACATGCAAGCAGCAGGTCGTGATTCTTACTTTGGACAATTCTTAGTAAATAATATAATTGAAACACTCGTTTTGAAGAACGTTACATTTAAGGATAACTCATGCAATAGTCAATATGGAGGCGGCACTGGCCTTTGGATTGATGATGTTAAAGAAGTTTCTTTTGAAGATTGCAAGTTTATAAATAATGTAGCAACAAGTTCTAATCGTGGACATGTTCCAACAGGCATGCAAGCATACACATCAGGCGATGGTGGCGCTCTTCAGTATGGATTTTCAACTTCTATTTATGAAATAAACATGAAGTTTGATAATTGTCTGTTTTCTCGAAATAAAGCAGTTCGCCACGGCGGTGCTCTTGCTCTTCAAACTGTTGGAACAGTTGTTATAAACAAGTGCACATTTGAAGAGAACATTGCTAACTACAAACAATCATCTGGCGAATTGCTCGAAAATCATTTCAACAAGAAATCAGAAGGCAGAGGTGGTGCCATTTACATCAATCCAGTTTTCGAGCTTAAAAATCATGATCACAAGACTAAGTACATGAAATCCGTCACAATAACAGGCTGCACATTCAAATCAAATTCAGCATTTGATGGCTTTGCAATCTACATTGAAGGTGATGATCCTGGAACAGAATTCACAATTAAAGACAACACATTCACAAGTAACTCAGATGGAACAAGTAACTCTGAAAATAGAGCTGTTGTTCTCTCTGAAATTGACAGTCTTTTGCAAATCTGGTCTTGATTCATCAAACACATTTTCCAACCCAGTTGGAATCAGCATTTACAAGTTACTCTGCGTCGACCACTATGCAAGAACACCATCACAAACACCAATGCCAACTGTCCACAATGAAACATTTGGACACCAATGTGATCCACGATGCGAAGCCATAAAAGATGATCCTCAATATCCGTCCTTCTATGAAATCAATGATGTTAATCTGGCGAATAAAGAAGATAATGGCAAAGATGGAGGTGCTGCTGTTCATTTGAAGAATGTTGGCGTGTCAATTGCCAAGTCAACTTTCAAAGAGTGCAAGTCTGAAGAAAACGGAGGCGGTGCAATTTACATTGTAAATGAAGTTGAATTCCAAAATGTGATTAACATTGAAAACACTAGATTTGAGGGATGTCAATCATGCTATGGTGGTGCTGTTTACATCCGCTCAATCTACGATGTTTGCCCTGTTTCAATCTCAAATTGCCACTTTGAAAACAACAAGGCAACACGAACACAATCGTCAGACAACTTGTTCGGCGGCAGTGCCATTTTCCTCAATGTTAGGAAAGGACGCGTCGTTGATTGTATTTTCGTCAAAAACAAAGGAAATGGAGGCGGAATCAAGGTTTTCAACGACTTCAATATGAATCTAAAAAGCACTTTGTTAACCAGCTTTTTCAATAGAAATTCGGTCGTTATTTCTGATTGTCTCTTTGAAATTGATGACGAACAACATTCTTCTTCAATTTTCTACCACGGAGGAAAGTTTGGGTCCCAGTTGAGCCTCCGTAATTGTGAGTTTAAAGGAAAACTCGCAAAGAATGGACACCACATCGACGGAATGAGATTCGATCGTGAATCTCCAAAGATTTCAGTGAAGAATTGCAGATTCGAGACTGATGTGAAGTCGTCTCTGAACATCAAAGGAGACTTCATCTCCGTAAACTTGAATGAACAAGTTTTTAACAGCCAGTCAGCAAAGAAGGATGATTCAAAGTCTGGCTTGATGAGCTATGCTATTTTGGCCATGGCAGCTTTATTGGCCTTAGTAGTGCTCATATCTTTTATCGTTTTTGGCTTAAAGAAATCAAACCAAAATAATGAAGAAGAAGAAAAAGAAGAACAAAACAACGATCTTTAAAGTTAATTAAAAAATGATAGCTTATTCTTATTTTTTTTTAAATTTCCCAATTTAGTTGATTATATAAATAGATAAATAAATAAAAAAACGAAAGTATTTGTAAAGTCCGAGTAATTTAATGGCCAGAATGGAACTGTGACTCAGTTCTTGTGGCGGTTCGATTCCGTCCTTGGACATTTTTTTGACTTTTGAAATAAAAAGTTTTATTTTTTTTTCAATTCTATTAGAGAGAAAGAACTTAGTTAATGTATTCTATTTATTGAATTAATGAAGAAATTTTTATATCTTATAATTAATATTGAATTTTTTATTTTTTTCCCAATATAGATCTTTTAAAATGATGAATTTATTCTCCATTAGATTTAAATTTTTACTCTAATCAACTTTCCAATTCATTTAAGAAATTAAATGAACTGAAAAACAAATAAGTCTTTATATATCTTTTTGAATGTATACAAAGTTTTCATGAAAATTTTATAATGTAAAATATTTTGGAAAATTGAAATTAAATCCAATAATTGTAAAATTAATCTTTTTTTTGAGAAAGCATATTTTATTTGGTAACTATATTCATTTATTATTATAAAAAAATCTTTAAAATAAAATGAACATTTTTGATTTAAATACTAATTATTAAAAAATATAAAAAGAAGGAAATGCTTTTCATAAGAAATTAACAAAATATATTTATTCAATATCTCCTCAAAGGAGTTGACTTTTTATAATGCGAAAGCTGAAAAATTGAATAAAATAAACCTTTTACTAAAACAAAATTGAATATCTAATTGATACTTACATTGAATTTTTCAATTATCCTAATTTAATTTATAGAATTTCTCTCAAACTCAAATAAATAAAAATTTTGTATATTTTATTATAAAATGATTCATGTAAAAGTTCTTCAAGCTGATAATCTTCCAGTTCTTAATAAAAAAAGCAGAAAAACACGGATCTATTGTTTTTCTTCATCATCCTCTCATTATTTTTATGGTTCATTTAAAAGCAAAGAAAGTACAACAAATCCTCAGTGGCATGGGGAATTTGATGCTGATTTATTTCGTTGCAGCAAATTAACATTTCTTTTATACAGTTCCCGCCTTCTTTCCCATGAAGAATTCCTAGGGAGAGTAGATGTTGATATCGTTGATTTTTTCCAACAAAAATCAGGAAAAAAAATTTTAAGCTCAGACAATGATTCACTTGGATGCAGTTTTCCAATTACATCCTGCTCCTCATCAAACGCATCCCTAATATTATCATTTTCATATAATCAAATCGATTATCCACCAATGAATTCGCATTCAATTCCAGATCCAATTATTCATTTATGGCCAACCTTTTCATTATCTGATCAAAACATCCCAATCGAAGTGGAACTTCTTCAAGCTTATTTTGTAAAAGGGAAGAAAAACGGTTTAAACGGTCTCTATTACAATTTCAATACTCAAACATCCTGGGAATCTGTAGGATCGAGTTCATTAAACACCTATATCTTTAACCCAACTGGACCTTCACAAATTCATACATTTTCACCTCACCGAATTGATTCAAAATATGAATTTTTCATTGTGAACAACAATTCAAATTTCAAAGGAGTCGTTACATTGAATTTTCTATGTGAAAGAGAAGGAAGCCAGAAAATAGTAAAGAATCAAAGATTCATTTTACCTCATGAAAAACATACAAAAAATGGAATTATGAAAACGGTTGATGTTAATTGTGAGCCGAACACAAAAATTTTGGCGCCAATTTTGATGTACTGTCAATGTAAATCATTCAAAAATGACAAAATTGAGTTTGCCACTATTCCAAGCATTAAATCTGACATCAGTGACTCATCAAGCAACTTCTGCGCAGATGTAATTGAAAAAGCTAAAGCAACCGTTAATAAATTCAATAATGTCACTTTTCATCAGACAAACGTGATGAATAATAATGAAAAACATTCGCTGATTAAAATTTTTACCGATTTGAATCTGCGAATTTGCTTTAACTTGAGAATCTACATCGGCGGCCTTTACGAACACAAAGATCGCGAAGGAAGCAAAAAATATTATTGGGAGATGCAATTTGCAGTTTTCGACAAAGAGACGCTTCTCAGATGCCACGAGATAGAAAAATCATTGACGAAAAAGCCAAATTTAGTCTCTCCAATTTTAAATAACGGAAAACCGTTATATGGAATGAAGTGGAATTCTTATGTTAATTTGAATTTGGACAAAATTGATATGAACAAAGTGATTTTGTTCATTATTCATTGCGATGCAAGTTTGGAATCTGCTACAACCGACGGTTTTTATTTGATTTCACAAATGGATGGCGATACTGAAAGTTTGTTGTTCAGAAATATGGTGTTTGTAGATAAGAAGCATTCCCATTATCTTGTTTGCTTTAGATTGGAGTTCGTTGACGATGGCTGGGAAATATTTCCAATGAGATACCATTTTGCTAAGAAGAAAAAAATGAATCCTGTCATTGATTCCTTATTTGCTAACAATTGGGTTTTGCCAGATGCTTTAGTTAATCCTGTTAATCCACGTAATTTCATTTCAGAAGAAGAAGAAGAAGAGGAGGAAGAAGCAGAAATAATTGAAAATAATGAACTTTAAATAGAACTTGTTAATTTAATATTAATATAATATCTTATGTTTATTTTATTAAAGAAAAATACTACTATTATACTATTATAATTTGAAATTTTTCAAAAGTTGACAGTTATTTATGGAGTTACTAAATATATTCTGAATTTTGTGTAATCATATTGAATTTGTCTATTGTAATATTGTATTTTTTTTCTCCATTAACCTCGAAAAGACTGCATTCAATATATGTTAATATGTAAGATAATATAATTACATTTATATATTCAATAACAATTTAATCAAATATATTTTTTTACAATATACGTTAATTAAAATTTGCCTTTATATTTCTTTGTTGACAGATAAATAAACCTCAGAATTTAAGAAGGAGGTGAAATCAAAATAATTTAAAATTATGTTAACTATTCAATTTGAAGAGGAGGTGAGATAATAATAATAATAAAAACATTTTAAATATTTTTAAAATGAAAATAAAAGCTCAACTTGAAAATTTGGAAAAACTTCATTCATTGGTGCTCGATTTTATAGATGAAGAAAAAGACACGGAAGAGAATTTTCAAAATTTGTATAATTTAATTTCGGAACAAAAAATTAATGAAAATAAGTCAGAATTCAAAACGCTTCTTCGTTTACTCGTTAATTTATCCAATAATCATTATCGTGGAAAAGATTTCTTTGAGAAAATTGAAAAAATAATTATTGAATATAAATCAAATATTCAGATTCTTTATTCCAATACAGAAATATTTGATATTTTTAAGAGCAACAAAATATTACTTCTTTTCATGTTTGAACAAAAAATGATTATCTTTGATAAATATATTTTCGAAATGATTACAACAGAAAATATTGATAATACTGATTTTGACCAAAATTTTAATGATTATAACCAAAAAGTAAGTAAAAAATTATTTAGAAGAGTTCAATACTTTCAGCCAGAAATTGAACAGTTTTTAAAAGAAAACACAAAGGAAATGAATGAATTTAAAGAAAGTTTTCCAAATCTTTTGGGCAAACAACTACCAGAAGATTTTGAAGAAAAAAGGCGACAAGGAGAAAATGACGATGAAATATGTGAATTAATTCGAAATGATTTAATTGAAGATTTCACAACATTTGTAAGTTATCATAATTATCCTCTGAAAAGCAAAATTAAAAGATCAATATATGAAACAAACGGATTGTTGTTATCACAAAAGTGCACACTGATAGAATATGCAGCATTTTTCGGATCATGTCAAATATTCAGATATTTGGTTGATAATGGAGCTGAAATTGAACCCGAAATTTGGATACACGCAGTTCATAGTAATAGCAATGAAATGTTAAGTCTTCTTGAAGAAAACATAACCGATTACGAGGAAAGAGAAAATGATTATTACGAAACATTTCCATTCAGAGACAGCATTTTAGAATCAATAAAAAGCCACCATAATGATGTAGTGAATTATGTTATAAATAAATATGATGATCAAATAACGAAACAATCAGATAATCGACTTTTAAACCTTGATTTGAAAACATTAGTTTTATCCGAAAGTGTTAAATATCATAATTTTCCATTTTTTATTGATAATATCAAGGACGATAATATCATTTTTTACTTATGCTTGTATGATTATTTACCTCTTGTTAAAACTTTATTATCAACAAAAAGAATTATTATAGAAAGCATGAAAATTATATAGCTCTTTTTTTATGACATTTTGAAAATCACATTTTACAAAATTACAAACAATTTATAAATTCAATTCGAAATTTAATTTTATGGAATTTTAAAATTTATTTTTTTATAAAAGCATATTATGCCATGCTGCAAAAGATAATCACTACGATATGTTAAATTTTCTCTTAAAGAAATGTAAAAAACAAGTAATCTCATCCAAATTTTATCAAGGATGCTGGAAATTAACTGAAATAGCAATTCCATCCACGATAAAAAAGATTGAAGAGCATGCTTTTGATGAATGTTTATCGTTACAAAAAATAATAATTCCATCTTCAGTAAAATCTATTGGAAGAGGATGCTTCTCAAATTGTAAAAAATTGGAAATAATAAAACTACCATCAAGCGTTACTTTTATTGGTTCAGAAGCATTTGAACATTGCTCCAATTTAAAAAAGATAGATATTCCATCATCAGTTAGAAAAATTAAAGAAAAAACATTTTTATTTTGTAAAAGATTGGAACAAATAACGATACCTTCTTCTCTGGTTTCAATTGAAGATAATGCTTTCCAGTATTGTCACAGTTTAAAAAGTATAAGCATTCCTCCATCTGTTAGATTTATTGGGGAAAACGCTTTTCAATATTGTTTTTCATTAGAACAAATTACTATTTCTTCTTCTTCAATAACAACAATCAATAAAGATTGCTTTGACAATTGTAAAAAATTAAAGCAAATAACAATACCTTCATCAGTAACAGCTATTGGTGAAAATGCTTTTAAAGAATGCTCTTCATTAGTCCAAATAACAATATCGTCACAAGTAACAACTATTGGTGAAAATGCTTTTAAAGAATGCTCTTCATTAACCCAAATCACATTACCTTCTTCTGTAACCACAATTGG